TGCAGTTTTGGGGGCCCATTATACTATAATTGTAATATGGAACCCCTAAACTAAACCCTAAACCCTAAACTCCTAAACCCTGAACCCCAAGCCCCTAAACCCTAAACGCCAAAATCGTATTGGTATTTAGGCCCCTACATCAGTCGATGCTTCGGATTGAAGGATGAGGAGGCCGTGTGTAAACTCGGAGTTCGCTCGCAATGGGCTTCTCAATTTTCAGCCTTAGCAGCCCTCAACTAGGATGGGATTTAGGGTTTAGGGTTCAGGGTTTAGGGATGGCATCGAGTTTAGTGTTTAGCTTTCAGGGCGCTGGACACGCAGTGCGGTGACCGTAAGCTTGCCGGAAAATATCAAACATCAACTGGTAAAACGGATCTTAACTCATGTTTCAAAGTTCCGTATAACTTCAGGAGGGTCACTTGATGAGAGGTTTGTTTCCTGGGTTCTAAACCCTAAGCCCTAAAACCCTAGACCCTAGACCCTAAAACCCTAGACCCTAAACCCTAAACTCTAAAAGCCTAAGCCCCTAGACCCTAAACCCTAAAAGCCTAAAGCTCTGGTGATCTCTTGCGGACGTGGCGCGTTTCCGCCTTTTCGTCTCAGGAGCAGCCGGAGCGAGGCCCTGCGGCAAAGCACTTTGCACCTGCACCAAGGGCTTAGGCGTTTAGGGTGGTTTAGGGTTTAGGGGGTTTAGGGTTTAGGGTTTAGGGGTTTAGGGGTTTAGGGTTTAGGGTTTCGGGTTTTAGGGTTTAGGGATTTAGGGAAGGGGTTTTAGGGTTTAGGGTTTAGGGGTTTAGGGTGTAGGTTTTAGGGTGCTCCGCACCTGCAGCCACATACACATTGAAGCTTCGTTTGAAAGAAAAATCTTTTCCTGAGAAACCAAGCTCTCGACTACACACTCTAGTGAAGGCTTGGGGTTCAGGCTTTGGGTGTTGGAACGGGAAGCTCTGACAACATTAACATCAAATTTCAATGCGAATTCGAAGGTTTAGTAAGGATGTGGAGATGATAGGAGCAAGGGCCACAGTTTAGAATAAGCCCCGTGAGCGAGCTGAAACATCAGGTACACCTACATAGGAGCTGCTCTAACAGCATGTACTCTAAGGGTTGCTGTTAGGGGCACTATCAGAGCTGCAAAAATGGGTGCAAGCGTTGGCATTTGGATCCTAAGCACCCTCAACAACCTCCTATGTATCCTGAGGCCCTTGCTTCGGGCTTAGATGCACTGCGAACACCTAAACCCTGAACCCTAAACCCTGAACTCCTAAACCCTAAACCAATGAGAGCTTCATCTAACCTTGTCCATTCACTACGCACCCAGGAACAAGAGCTCCTTGGAAGACACCCCGAGCTAACCCAAACAGAAGCCAGGAGGAAGGTTCCTTCTTTTAACCAAGGTTTCGTTACCCTAAACCCTAAAACCCTAAACCCTAAACCCCCGAACCCTACAACTGGCCTCCTCAGCGTGCTCTGCAGCTGTGGCGGAGTCGCTGTTCTTCCGGCTGACGGAGATGCTGCCGTCTTCCTCCTGTCTTCTTGGCATGTTGGACATCTGTGTGCAAAGGGAGCATAGGATCTAGGGCTACAGGGTTCTCGTTTGAGCTTATGAGGCGTTCCATGATAGTACCGATGGCCGATGGCAGCCATGACAAGAATGATAATCATCGCATTCGGTATTGCAGTTGGGCATCGCCGTCGTCGTGGTAGTGGTGGTGGCATTAGCACCCTTGCCCTCGTGCAGGGTATGGGGGTTGGATGCACTTGGGGTGTGGGGCCAATGGATAATACAATGTTCCGACGGGCCTCAATCCGTAAAACCCTGAACCCTAAATCCCTAAGCCATAGGAATAAATTTTGGGCAGTCTAGGACCCAGGATCGGACACTATCGGCGCCCTTGACAATTAGAGTAGGGTGTTGCGGCACGTATATTTCTATATTTATAACACGGAACCCCCAAATTAGTTTTGCTAATTGTTTAGGCTCCTATACTAATACTAAGGAATTAGCCCTCAACCCAGTTCCTTGCTTGATTGCGGCGTCTTGTGCTCTCTGGAAATACAGGCTGCTGGGAAAGCCCCGAAGACAAATCTCCGTCTCGAGACATAAACGAACCAAACTCAGACTGCCCGGCATCTAGAATCCAAGAGCTCGGTAAGTGCAGGTGTCACTTCTGTTGTTTTCTTGGTTCCGTCAGGTTCTGCTACAAGTACTGCCCAATAATGATGACAATCAACACTAGACTTAATCTAAACCCCAAAAGTCTAAGCCCTCAACTTAAAACCCTAACCCAGCACTGTCAACAGCTACTGGCAAACCCGAGACCCCAAAAGCTAAACCCTAGCGCCTTGAGGCCTAAGCCCCAAACCCTAGTGCCTGTGATTTGTCTGAGCTGCAAGCAAACCCCGCTCCTTCTCGAAATGGGCGCCCTCTGTGTTCACCACCTCGGCCCATGCCCTAGACCCTAAACCCCTAAACCCTAAACGGCTTAGGATTTAGGGGTTTCAAGTTTAGGGTCTTTGCTTCAAGGCTTGGCGCGGGGCCTTCTGAACATAGGGCTTCAGTTTGATGTCAAGGGATAGGGTTTAGGGTTTAGGGTTCTGTGTCAAGTTTTCCGGTTTGCGGCTTCTTTCGGGGTGCTTAGATTGGGGCTCAACCCTTATGCAGGGTTTCAGGCTTGAGCTGCCCTAAACCCTAAACCCTAAACTCGGATATCCTAAGCCAGGGTTGTAAGCGTAGGCTGAACGGCATGCGCCCCAACCCTGCAGCCTAAATGCCCCAATGCGATGGTCGGCTTTATGTTTGTAGGATTCCGGGACCTTAACTTCCTGCATTGGGTTTAGGGTTTAGGGTTTAAGTTCATTGTACATTGTAGTATACTATCTTCTAGCACAGTCTGCTACTGATTATTGTAACATCGCAAACTATGGTACTATGGCAAACCCTCGTATGCCCTAAACCCTATAGCCCTTAACCCTAAACCCTACTAAACACTACCTTCTTTTATACTGCAGGTTCTGTGGCAGACTCTCAGAGGGTGAGATCTTGGCTTGGGCTTAGGAGCTTTCGCGTCTAGGTCCAAAATCCCTGAATCATGAAGTCGGAGCCTTCTGCTTTAGGTTTAGGGTTTCGGGTTCAGGGGTTTCGGGTTTAGGTATTCGGGTTTACTTTGCTATTATATGGCTATACCACTTTTTTTGGCACCCTGCGTCATGACGAGCTCCGAGCTGCAGCAAGTGAACCCCACATCGCACACCTCTCAACAAACATCTGAGCTGTATGACACCAAGCCGTAAACCCTAAACCCTCGAAGCCCTGAGCCCATAACGCTAACATAGCACCCGATATAATTACCAATACTATTTTGGGGGTTCCTTACTATAATGATAGCAAAATGGGCCCCAAGACCCTATTCTATTTATTAAGGCCCCTACATTCACGCTAACGCTGAGAACTTAGCGTCTCGAGGTCCCGCAATCCTCCACCCGAGCTACAGGACTACAGCAGGCCCTGACCCCAATCCCGATATCGACAGTACCGACAGCTTCGGGTGTTGGGGTTAGGTTGAAGGTTTAGGTATTAAGGTTGAGGGTGTTATGGATTAGGATTAGGTATTAGGGTTTAGGGTTTAGGGTGTTGGGGATTAGGGTTTAGGGATTAGGGTGTTAGGGTTGAGGGTTTAGGGATTCGGGTGTAGGGGGTTAGATTGAAGGTTTAGGGTGTAGGGTGTTCGGTTGAGGGTTTAGGGTTTAGAGTGTTAGGGATTCGGGTTTAGGGATTAGGGTTTAGGGTGTTAGGTTTAGGGTGTTAGGTTTAGGGTTTAGGGATTCGGGTTTAGGGTGTTAGGGTTAAGGGATTTAGTGGGAAGCCAGGGCACGTTTCTTCTTTGGCGCAGCTTTTGGACCAGCTCTTGGTCCATCGGGCCTCTTCTGAGTTTAGGGGTTTAGGGTTTAAGGGGCTCCGTGCTTGGAGGCCCAGGGGACTTAGTAAGTAGGTTATAAGTAGAGTTAGAAGTACCCTACCTATAGTTACCCCAATGATAACCCTACTTATAACCGACTTACTACGTCACCTGGGCCTCCAAGCACTGGTTTCCACGCAGACATCAGTATGCTGAGAAGTACATGGACATGGGAGTCTTCTGGTGCTCGTAGTGGGGTACATATTGCTTGATTTTCTGAGTACCTTATACGAGGACTCTTCTCAATCGTCGTCTCCTCTGGGTTCTTATCGTGATAAGATTTGAAATCTGTAGAAAGTACTTTCCAGGGAACCCGCACCTAGAGCAATCGAATTAGTACTGTTGCAACTGCTACTGTCACTATCAGTATTGCTTCGACCGCTTCTACCATTTTTTCTATTTCTATCAGCATTGCCTATTGCTGCTATATAGAGAGTGTCGCTATCTTTGGCCACCGCTGCTGCCACTGTCACTACCACTACCAATACTACCACCATTCTTACAAAATGCCGTTGGAGACATACTTCCACCGTCACTCCGAAATTCTAAGGCCTGAACCCTAAACCGTTGCACATGGAGGCCTTGAAGCGGGTCCTCTGCGTCCGTCGCCTGGCTCTGCTTCTTGGTGGGAGAGACCTGAGCCTCCCGAGGGGATTTAGGGCTTTAGGCGGGTTAGGGGTTTGGGTTTAGAGCTTGCTGGTTTTAGGGGTCAGGGTTTCCGGTCTAGGGGTCTAGGGTTCCGGGGTTTTAGGGTTTTTAGGATCTAAGGTTTTTGGGGTTTGATGATTGTAAGACTTAGAAGGTTCGAGGTTTTAGGGTTTCGGGTTGGGGGGTTTCAGGGTCTGAGGGTTTAGGGTTTTGGGTTTAGGGTTTGAGGGTTGAGAGCTTGGGGTCTAGGCTTCCATCTCTGCCCAAACAGAAGACAAGTCTGCAGAAGCCTTAAACTTAAGCCCAACCCGGACCCTAAGAAACCTCCAACTTTGGGGTTCCTTGTCATGACTTCCTTATATGAATTCTTTCAAACGGTAGATTATTCCCCTAAACCCTAAACCCTATTATTTGGGGTTCAGGCAAACCCTATCTTGCAGCTCCGGGTTCTCTGAAACTCTCCGCCCTGTTAAGCACATCTTGCCCGACTCGCTGCCCCGAGAGGTTTTAGGGTTTAGGGTTTAGGATTTCGGGTTTAGGGTTTAGGATTCAGGATTTAGGGTTTAGGGTAAAGGCCCTAACCTAACTAATATAGGAGCCTTAACAATATAGAATAGGGTTTTGGGGGCCCATTATACTACTATGATAAGGAACCCCCAAACTAAAAAAGCTAATGATTTAGTCCCCTATATTTTAAGCCCACAGACATGAGAGGTCGACCTTTCTGTTTTATGATAAAATGGAGGAGGGCGGAGAGCATCCGAGCTCTGGCTTTCATGGTTCGAGGTTTAGGGTTACGGTTTCCCATTTCGGTGTTTGGGGTTAAACTCTCACTTCGTATGCGCTACGAAGTCTCTGCATCGGGATTCAGTTGAGTTCTAAACTTCAAGTTAAACCCTACTGAACCCTACAACCTGTAGACCGGCCACAGCTTGTAGCCATCGTAACCTGCAGAACCCGAACTCCAGAGACTGACGACACGCTAAAACCTAAACCCTAACAGCCCTGAGCTTTCCGCTCTGAACCCTTCTCTGCCAAAGCCCTAAACCTAATGTAGGGGCCTTAATAATTAGAATAGGGTTTTGGGGCCCATTATACTATTGTTACAATAAGGAACCCCCCGCCCCCCCTAAATAGTATTGGCTAATCATTTAGGCCCCTAAACCTGAAGCCCTCAACTGCCGACACCCTGATCTTTCCATGAGACCCCATGCATCATCTAAACGCTCAGCCTCCTCTTAAGCCGCCTAATATAGAGGTCTAAATAGTTACCAATACTATTCTGGGGTTCTGTATTGTAATTATAGTAAAAGATACCCCAAACCCCTCTTCCAATTATTAAGGCTCCTGTATTATATAATTGGAGGGGCCTGAGTACTGAGAATAGGGCTTTGAGTGTACTTTCTAGTAAATCAGATTGGTGTAAAGCAAATTAAGGACTCGTTTAAGGAGATGTGATTTCTGAGTATTCCGACCTATATCTTAGACTCTGCGCTTTCCACACTGATCCTGTTGGCTTCCTCGCCTGCTTCTGCTCGATGTCAGTGCTTCGCTTCTTCAGCTTGGCTGCAAGCCTGAGCTTTTAGGGTTTAGGGCTTTAGGGGTAAAAGCTGAGGGTTTAGGGGTTTTAGGGTTTAAGGATTTAAGGGGTTTCTTGGGGCTTAGTAGGGCTTTGCAGGAGGGTTGTTGTGAGGGTACAGGGCTTGCAGGATTTTTTGGGGTTCAGCGCGTCAACTGCGGAGCCGGCTGGGGCTTTCGGCCCGTTAGGGCTTTGGCAAGTCTTTTCTGTGTTTAACGTAGGGGCCTTAACAGGGTTTAGGGATTAGGGTTTAGGGTTTAGGCTTCAAGGTTTAGAGTTTAGGGTTTAGGGTTTGGGGTTTATGGTTTAGGGTTTAGGGTTCACATAGGGCCTCGAGACCCATGATGCTAGACTATTTTCATAATAAGGAACCCTCAGAGGAAAAATATTGGCAATTATACAGGCCCCTATAGTAAGCTTCTGGGATGGAGGCTTTTCTCGGACGCTCCTGGGGTTTCAAGGGCCCCTAAACCCTAAACCCAAAAAACCCTAAACCACTTCTTGGAGGGCGGCTGGGGATCGATGTGCGAGCCGAACTCTGCCGCAGGGCGAGTGGCAGCAGCCTCCCAAAGCGGCTCTTGTAGGGGCCTTAATAATTAGAATAGCGTTCCTTGGGAGTTCCTTTAAAGCGTTCCTACATATGGTTCTATAAGGGCTACTAGAAGGGTTTAGCGTTTAGGGGCCTTAATAATTAGAATACGGTTCCTTGCGGGCTCCTTTAAAGGGTTCCTTTAAAAGGGGTTCTACAAGGGCTACTATAAGGGTTTAGGGTTTTGGGGCCCATTAAACTACACGTGTAATAAGGAGCCCCAAAATAATATAGGTAATTACTGAGGCCCCTATACAGGAGGGCAGATTTACGTGTCAAAGGGGTTCCTACATAGGGTTTAGGGAGGGCAGTTTCGTGAAAATAGACTTACCCTCTGCTTGCCGGTGTGACAATTAGAAAAGCGCTCTGGGGTATATTAAAGCATGTTCATATAGGGCATTAGAGTATAGTGATACAGGGATTACAAGGCTATAATCCTAAACCCTAAACCTATGATCTTACGAACTTCTTGGGTCCCTTTACTCTTGTCGCCGGTGTCCGGCATCTGCCCCTGCTTCCTCTCGCCCTGTGGTGCCCCTAGCCTGAGGCATTCTGACTCGGTGCGACCGCACCGAAGGGTGGTGCCTTGGGGTTTAGTGTGTACTGAGCCAGGCAGTTTCCGGGACTTAGCCTGTATGCTTTGGGATTGTGATTAACTGTGGCCAACTGTGGCCGACTAGGTTTTCTGCTTTAGGTATTGACTTGAGATGAAGGTACCGAGGGTACGAAAACATGCAGCAACAACTTGGACTGTTATTGCACGCACACAAACATGCACATACATGCATACATACATACAAACAAACAAACATACATACACACATACACGTACTTGTATATATACATAAACATACACATGCATACATAGACATACATACATATATAATATATATGTATGTATGTATGTATGTATGTATGTATGTATGTATGTATAGACACACCCATACCCACACGCGCCCACCCACCCGCCCACACACACACACACACCCTACACCCAATTTTCGAAGAACTGCTTCATAAGCTGACACCCTGAACATCAAAAAACCCCACTCCAAATCCCAAAAGCAAGCAGCCCGGCGCTACACCTTAAAAAGCGCTCTCTAAACCCTCACAGCCAAAGTCGGAGCTCTCCACCTTTAACACACAGAATCCTAAAAGCTCTAAACCCTGGCGGGGCCAAGACTTTTTACCCCTTAGGGCCTAAATCTTCAAACGGGAAGTCACCAAATAGACGCTCTTACGATGGCCCCGCATAACCCTTGCAGCACCTTCTCAAACTCGATCAAAGAATACCGCACATCCCAAAACTCCCTTACCGAACCCTGCCTTGTTCGCCTCACCGCGGCCTTCCATCTGCTCCAAATCCGTCTGTCGCTTCTTGATCTTCTTGGCCAGTTCCTCTTCTCTCGTGCGCATAGAGCTTTTGAGGCTTCTACTTTTTGTTGGTTTAAAGCCCTAAACCCTAAACCGTATTTGAGGGTTCAGTTTCTCTTCTTTTTGCTTTGTGGAAAGGGGTTATGACCTTCTCGGCAGGATCCTCGTTTTGATCCTTGAGGGGATTGTACAGGCTGTTAAAGGGTTTGTATCAAGCGTATATAAAAATACATCTTTATATTTATGTGTACACGTATATACATATAAGTATATATATATATAACATGTATGTATGTATGTATGTATATATATATATATATATATATATATATATACATATCTACAATAGACACACATGTCCCATACGCAGCTCGTATTGCATCACTGGTGATGTTGTATTGCTGCTGCTGCGGCTGCGGCTGCCGTCAACTTCGTCACCGGCTCTAGCGTGGGGAACTTCAGAGCTGAGGGTTCACTCCCCTGTCGTCCTTTCTGAGGTTGAGGGTTTAGGGTTTAGGGTTTAGGGCTCTCTGAGGTAAGATGTCGCCGTCGCGGTGGCTCTGAGGTCGAGCTGAAACGGCCCCCGCCTGGATGCGGAAAATCCTCCGAATAGTTCCCGTAATCAGAGTTGAAGTCGGCGTTGCCAAGTTATTTGTATGGCTCCCTCCACGATCCGCAGGCAGGTAATGCTTACAAAAGTGCCGGTGGGCTCGCAACGGCACGCACTGGTGTGGGGCCCCGTGCAGCCGTATCTGCGGAGCTCGCGCTCCTGAAGGGATCCTCAGCTTGGTCTGCACGGCGAGAAGGGGAGTACTCCAAGATATCCCTGAGCGGTGCCAGCAGGGGATCCTCCGGATCCAAGGTGCAAAAATTTTGGGTTTAGGGTTTAAACCCTAAACCCTAAACCCTAAGGGTTTTGGACTTGGTCTCAGCGCCGTCAGTCCTGGCTCTCTTGGGCGGCCCTGCTCCTGCTCCTGCTGCCACTACTACCACTACTACCACTACTACTACTACTACTACTACTACTACTACTACTACTACTACTACTATCCTACGCCACTAACACTACCATTACGACGGTGAGTCCGACTGCGGCGACGACGACGAAGACGACGACTACTATACGTATTGTAGGATTTAGGAAGGCAGGGTTGATGATCTCGGACCTAGGTTTCGAACTTACAATTTAGGCTGTCAGGCGCCTCTCAGTTTAAGGCTTGGGGGGCTTCCGGATCTGACGTAGGGGCCTTAATGCTTAGAATAGGGCTTTGGGGTATATTATACTATAATCATAAGAAGGAACCCCAACAATAGTCTAGAGAATATTTAGGCCCCTACATTATATTAGCTGCGTGAAGGTCTCGCAAGGGTTTCGGGGTTGTAGTAGAGGGGGTGTACCGGGATTCAGGCAGGGATTTTCCTTAGGGGTTCAGGGGTTGAGGTTCAAAGTTTGGCTATTGCATTTCAGTTTCGAGCTTTACCCGGAACCAGACAGCTCTAGTGCCCAGCATGGTTGCCTTCTTTCCTGAAGCCCCTAATTAGGCCCTAAACCTTAAACCCCAAACCCCTAGGCCCCAAACCGTAAACCCTACAATCGCCCCCCCTTCACCCCCCGCCCGGTTCCCAAAAGCGGCTGCCTCGTCAATTCGAGCCTCATACTGTGCCTCGACAACATCCGCGCACTTTCAATTTGGGACTTCACGTGTTCAGGTTTGCCCGGTTTAGGGTTTAGTGATTGCTTCGGGTGCCGGGTTTAGTGAGTCAGCCCTAATTCGAACCTGTACTGCCTAATGATACATGCACACTCAGAACTGGAACGTGAGTTGAACCTCCCCTTGGGCACGAGCTCTGCTGGCAGTGAGAGCTTTCCTTGGAACGCTCCACGCTGACTTGTCATGAAATGCGCCTGAGTCATGCATGGTTCGAAACGAGAGCCTAATCGCTCTAGGTCCTGAGCTCTGAGGTCTCTGTAAGGCGAAAGCGGAAGGTCCTAAACCCTCGTACATGCCATAACAACCCTAGGTCCTTACCCTTCTTGTCCTAACCCTTTGAAACAAAAAGAACTTCACAACTCTTAGTCCCAAACCCTGTGCAACCCTGAATCCTCCCAAACCCCTAAAAAACCCTTAAATCCCAAAACCCCAAACCCCAACCCCTAAATCCCTTAAATCCAGAAGCCCTCTCAAACCCAGGACGCGCGAGATCTGCGCCTCGGTGGCCTTTTCTGGCCCTGCGGAAGCTTTCGGGCCTGGCTTTCGACAAGAGCTACTGTAGGGGCCTTGAGGCAATGCAGGATTTATATCATTAGGGTTTAGGGATGTTTAGGGTTTAGGGTTTAGGGTTTAGGGTTCAGGGTATATCATCAACAGTAGTGTTGATATTGTGACCTTAAGCTAAGTCCTGAGCAAAAAGGGAGGGTTGGAGTCTCTGCGCAGCGTAATCCTCAAACCAGATAATGTAGGGGCCTTAATAATAGAATAAGGCTTTGGGGTCCTTTATAGCTATAATGAGGAACCCCCCAAGATAGTACAGGTTATTCTTGAGGCCCCTCTATTACTTGTTGAGCATCGGCTTCACGGGTTTAGGGTTCAAGGGGCTTTAGGGCTTAGGGGCATTAGGCCTTAGGGTTTTTGGATTTGGGGCTTTTAAGGGCTTGGGAGGGTTAGGGGCTTTTGGGCTTTAAGGTTTTGGGGCTAGGCTTTGGTGTCCACGGCTTTTAGTGCGATGTGTTTGCTCAGGGTCTTACGGTCGAAGGCTGCAGGAGTTCGGAGTTTAGGGTTTCAAGGGTTCGGGAATGGCTGTGGGGTTCTTAGGGTTTGGGTTTAGGGTTTACTAGGCTAAGCTCACCACAAGATACCACAAGGCCGTACAAAAAACCGAACAGCAAAAGGGTTTAGGGTTTAGGGAAACCCTGAATAGCAAAAGGGAAGCCCATTGTAGAACCCTTGTAGAAGCCTGAAAAGAACCCTTGTACTTGTACGACCCCATAAAGGCCTACAGAACACCCCAACGGGCCCTAAACCCTAAACTCCTACGCCCTTAAACCCCCAACCCCAAACCCCCTGAACCCCCAAAGCCCGAAGAACAGGAACCCAAGCTCCCTGAACCCTTAAGAACCTAGCCAAACCCCAACCTCAAACCCTAAACCCCAAGAACCTAGGAACCTAAGAACCTCAGCTCCCTGAACCCTACATAAGAAACCCCAGCCTTAAACCAAGACACTAAGAACCTAGGAACTTAAGAACCTCAGCTCTCTGAGCCCTACATAAGGACCCAAGAATCTAAAGCCCTAAACCCACAAAACCCCAGCCTTAAAACCCCCAAGACCGTGAGAACCTAAGAACCTGGGTAAGCTCCCTGAACCCTACATAAGGACCCAAGAATCTAAAGCCCTAAACCCTAAATCCCAAAAGCCCTAGGAACCTCAGAATCCTAAGAACCTTACATAAGAACCCAAGAACCTAAGAACCTAAGAACCTCAAAGCCCTAAACCCACCAAACCCCAGCCTTAAAAAACCCAAGAACCTAAGAATTTCAGAATCCTCAGCTCCTCGCGTGAGAGGTTTGCAGACTGCTGCCGAAGCTTTGACCTGGCAACAGGCGTAGACTTCGAGTCATCTCCCCGTTGGAGGGATCTATAGGATCTGTAGGGGTTCCTTTAAGGGTACTTGGAGGCCCAGGGGACTTGGTAAGTCGGTTCTAAGTAGGGTTATAATTGGGGTAACTCCAGTTAGAGTACTTATAACTCTACTCATAACCTACTTACTAAGTCCCCTGGGCCTCCAATTACTATAGAGTTCGATAATAGGGTTCCTTTACAGGGATCCATAGTGTTCTATATCAGGGTCCACAAGGCCCACCCTATATTTCCTTGAAAGGGGACATGACTCCAAGTACTAAAAAAACACGAGTATCGTTCCCGCTTCAAGGGAACCTTTTTCACGAACCCTATAGATCCATGTGCTGGAGCCCTACTATGGAATCCTAGAGTACCCTGAAAGGCACCCCATTCTAGAACCCACTAGATCCCTTCAAAGGAACCCCATTACAAAACCCTTATTAAACAATGAATACTTTATGAGCTCCTTAGGGTCGTTTTACCACTTCCTTTAAACCTTCCTTCAAGGTTTCCTTGTAAGCGCTTAGGGTTTCATGGATTAGGTAACTCCCCAAGGGTTTTATAATAGGGTTCCTTTAAAGGGATCTCAGTGGGTTCTAGAATAGGGTTCCTTTAAAGGGATCTAGTGGGTTCTAGAATAGAGTTCCTTTAAAGGGATCACTATAGGGTTCTAGAATAGGGTTCCTTTAAAGGGATCACTATAGGGTTCTAGAATGGGGTTCCTTTAAAGGGATCACTATAGGGTTCCATAGTAGGGCTCCTGCACATGGATCTATAGGGTTCGTTAAAAAGGTTCCCTTTAAGCCTAGTAGGGCTCCTTGTGGGGGGTTCGAGGGGTCTGGCGTTCCATAGGTCTTGCAGCCCCGCAGTACTTGGAGGCCCTGGGGACTTAGTAAGTCGGTTATAAGTAGGGTTTAGGGTTTAGGGTTTACAGGGTTTATAGGGTCTAGGGTTTAGGGTTATAATTGGGGTAACTCCAGTTAGGGTACTTATCACCCTACTTATAACCTACTTGCGGAGTCCGCTGAACCTCCAAGTAAGGTTTAGGAGTTAAGGTTTAAACAGCTTTATAGTACGTGGCTTGCGGGCTGACAGTAAGGTTTGGAAGTTCGGGTGATTTAAGGCCTAAACCCACAACCCTAAACCCTAAATAGCTTTCGAAGCCTGAGGCCAGTTTTGGATGTGGGATGTCGGGTGTGGGTTTTCGGGCTTGGAGTTTAGAGTTTAGGGTTTAGGGGTTTAGGGTTTGCCTAGCTCGGTACGCTTTGCGGGAACCGGAAAAGGAGGTACACCTAACCTAGACTAATGGGTCGGATCCACGCGCTTCTTTCAGGAGCCTTTACAGTTGCCGCTCCTGTGATCTCAGAACAAAAGCTCTGGTGAAGGGACTTCATTTAAGCTACAATGATGAAGCTACCAAGGCAAGTAATATCCTTCTTCTCGTTCTTCTTCGGTGGTGTGGTTATCATGACTTAAAATCAGCTCCTTTGCCTTTACAGGAGCCCCACGAACCCCAAAAGCCCAAACCCTAAACCCAAATCCCGTCTCTGAAGCGCCTGAGTTCCTGATCGATAGGCGCTTCGAAAGAGCGCTCCGCCTCCACCTCGCCAGGTGAGAGTTTACTGCTTGGGGTTTTAAGGTTTAGGGTTTTGTAGAAAATCCTATGGTGGATTTTCAGAGTTTTACGGCTTCCTATACCCTACTACCCGAAAGCCCTAAACTCCCAAACCCCCATCTGAACCCTAAACCCTAAACCCTCCCTAAACCCTCTCCCCATTGAAGCTGAGGATGTCGAGGTAGAGGTCCTCAAACCCTACAAAAAATCCTCACCAGCCCGTGTAATTGCGTGTCATGTAGGGGCCTTAACAATTAGAATAGGGTTTTGGGGGTTCCTTTAAAGGGTTCTACATGGGCTGCTCAAAGGGTCTTTTTGTTAAATGCAATAGCCCCCTTCTCTCAATAAGGGTTTAGGGTTTAGGGGGGTATGTTATACTACAACTATAATAAGGAACCCCCCAAAGTAGTGCTGGCAATTATCTAGGTCTCTATACGAACCCCCGTATAGAATCAATCTTCTATAGTACCCTTTCATAACCTACAGCCCCAAACCCTGAACCCAGAACCCCAAACCCTAAAACGCTCAACCTTCCATCCCACAGCCATAAAGCCTCAACCACCCTAAAGCCCTCAACCTCAATTAAATCCTAAACCCTAAAACCCCCAACCTGAATTAAATCCTAAACCCTAAAACCCTCAACATTAACTATATATAAGTCCTAAACCCTACAGCCTCAAACTTGATTAAATCCTGAACCCTAAAACCCTCAACCCTAACTAAATCCTAAACCCAAAAACCTAAACTCCTAGAAACCAAAAACCCAAAACCCTAAACTCCTACAACCCAAAACCCAAAACTCCTAAAACCCAAAACCTTAGACTCCTAAAGCCCAAACCCTCGACCCTTTTGGAGCCTAAACCCAAAACACTAAACTCCTAAAAACCCAAAACCCATAACACTAGACTCCTAAAGCCCAAAACCCCCAAAACCCCCAAAACCCTAAACGCCTAAAACCCTAAACTCCTAAAAACCCCAAACCCTCGACCCTTTTGGAGCCTAAAAGACCTCAAACCCTAAACCCTTAAAGCGCAAAAATCTAGACCCTTTTAGAGCCTAAAAAAACACCAAACTCCTAAAAACCCCAAACCCTCGGCCCTTTTGGAGCCTAAATCCTGGGACCCGCACTTTCACCTCCGCCACGTCGGTCCCGTCATCCGCGCGGACGCGCCGCCTCACAGAGACTGGGTTTAGGGTTTAGGGCTCAGGGTTTAGGGTTTGGGCCTTTGGGTTTAGGGTTTTGGGGTTTAGGGTTTAGGGATTTAGGGCTAGAGTTTAGGGTTTAGGGTTTACGCTTTAGGGATTTAGAGCTAGAGTTTAGGGTTTAGGGCTTCAGGTTCAGGGCTTAGGGTGTAATGTTCCGGGTTTGGAGTTAAAAGAAGTTGCTTGTCGTTTCGAAACTACTACTATCAGTATGATTCTAGCCGTCGTTCGTATTCGGAGGTATTGCTGTCAATGTGAACATAACCACGCTTGATGATATCAATCCTGCATGACCTATAGTACGGAACATACCATACTTCCCATGGTTTAGGGTCCTTAATTAAGGTCATGCAGGATTAATATCATCAACAGCAGTGTTGATATTGTGATCTTGAGCTGAGCCCTGAACAAAAAGGGGTGTTGGAGTCTCTGCGCAGCGCCTTAATCCTCAAACCAGATAATGTAGAGGGTTTTGGGGTCCTTTTATAGTATAGCTATAATAAGGAACCCCCAAAGTAATATCAATATAGGTAATTAAAGAGGCCCCTCTATTACATCCTTGTCAAACCTGAGCCTGCAAGCCTACAGATTAGGGTGTTCAGGGTCTTCTAGAAGTTTCGGGTGTGTGGTGCTTATCTTGGTAAGAACGAGCTGAACGCTCATAAAGGTAGGGTTTAGGGTTTAGGGTTCAACGAGAATGATGATGCAACTAACATGGGTGCATGCTGAGACAACTTAAATTTGAAGGCTGTGTCCAAAGCAGGATTGCTCGGTAGTAAAGCAGCTACGGAGTTTCACAGAAGTTCTATGGGTTACACTAGATTCTGATTGCTGAGAACACACCGAAGTTTATGTTAAGCCAGCGCATCTGATATGGGAGTATCCGACTCGAATAGAAAGCACACTCCTGCTGTCAGTACTCACACCCCTAGATCTCAAAAAAAAAATTCGGAGTTGATTTAGCGTCTAGGCTTTGCGGTTGAAGACTGCATCTTCAGTATCTCCTACAGTTACGTCCTGCTCGAAGATCCCACAGCCCCGAGTGTGTTCCAAAATCCCTAAGCCCCACCGGCGACTTGCAGCTCTGGATCATGCATCCCCAAGTGCCCGAAACCGTGTTCTGTAAAGGAGCTTAACTTTCGTTGTGATAAAGGTAGATGTGGAATGCAATATGCATTAACTTAAACTAAGTTCTGAAAACAGAACCATGAAAAATCCTAGACCCGTGCACAGCAGCCTTTCAAGTCGCTGGGAGAGCTCTGAATCCAACGGCATGGCTTGGGATCGAGGGTTTGTGCGCCTGCCTTCACTGCAACGCTTCGAGGCTCAGTAGATTTAGTAAGCAATAGGTTAACGCTGGGTTCTGTTATCCTTACTTAGAACCATCATGTTTCGATTCTGCTGATGCCTTGCCTGCCAACTGCGTCGTCTGATACTTGCAGCAGACTTACATTTTACGATCACGGTAGTCATTGTGCTGCCATCGTTGAGATGCCGGTACCGCTGAAAGATGCTGCTGCAGATAGGATTATGATGGTTCAGGCTTGGTATTCATGTATCTTCATCAGGTCCTGCCAATGCTCGTAAGCCTTTGAGACAGACCCCTTCAGCCACTAGCGCTGCAGCAGTTTCACATCGAATCGTCGTCTCAAGTGCCTGCATGGCTTCGAGGGGCCTTTCAGCTACATCTAACCCTCCTGCAATCATTGTGGAAAGCCTACTTCTTGGCTTGTGAAGAAAGGTTGCGGGGTAGGCCGGGTTACCCTAACCCTAAACCGTAAACCCTAAACCGTATAGTTAGGAGTCGTTTAAACACCGGAAACCCAAAGCCATGATACCAGAAACCCTGCTTTCGGAAAGCCTTGTGCTTCTAGGTTTCAGCGCTTTTGTACAGTGTTTGGGTTTCGGGGTGGAGGGTGCAGGGTTGAGGTTTGACTTTTTACTTTTTGTGTTTAGGGTTTAGGGTTGCTTGCAGAAGGCTTTCGGTTTTGTGTTGTAGCTTTGCAACTTGGGGTTGTGCGGGGTTTTCGAGCTTTTCGAGTTTAGTGTTACTTGTCTTGTCTTGCGGCTGTTTACAACTACTAGTCACTTTACACGTTGTTTGTTTGTCTTCGGGGTGCTTTGGGATAAGTTTTCTCAGGGTTAGCTGAATATGGCTTTAGGGTTGAGATTTTAGGTTTTGATAGGGTGTATGGGGGGTTTAGGCCTTGAGACACGGGTCTCAATAATTGGACTGGGGCTTTGGGGTACATCGTAGCGGGTGTACATTATAGCTTACTCATATGAGGACCGGAAAGGCATGTAGTACGAAGCATCCAGACCTCTGCATCATGTTTCGGAACCTGAATCACGAGGGAATACGCCCTGACAGGGCGAATGCTGGGATGCAGGCCGTCGTACTACGTGCAAACAGCTGACAAACTTTGCACCACGGCAACTCGCGCAGCATTTTTGTCAAGAAAACGCCGCGACATGCGACCAAGCAAGTGGTTTGCTTGTAGAAGCGCCGTGGAAAATCATCGTCTCGTTAACCTGAAGTCACCGCGGCTCATTGGGCTTAGGAGTCTGCGTGCGCATGCACATGCCTTTAACAACATTAGCGAAAGCTGCATCTGAACACGGAGGCTTTGGGGTGTTACAATATGGTGGGATGCAACAGTGACAAGAAGTTCGGCAAGACGCACAACAGCAAGGATACAAGTACTTACACTTATGCCAAGAACTAGAAAATGGTAAATGAGAAACATACTGAGAACACCGTTCACACTGGCAATGGCAAACAAATCAGAACAGTCAAAGAGAAGAAAGCTAACCATGCCAGGTTTCATAGCCATAGCAGCAGTAGTAGAAGTAGCAGCAGCAGCAG